TATGGCACTCCCGCCACTCCGTGGGATTTGAGCTAAACGTAGTGGCACGCTTAACGGCATCTCTAGCCGCGACAGCCATCAGCATACTCTCCCACTTTTGGTTTTCTCGACTTGGTTATGATACCGGGTCCATGTGGGAGGGGTGGGGGAGTGTGGTAGATGCAGCGCAAGTCCAATACTACCTTAAACTAATTCATGTGCAAGGTACCGTCTCTGCACCGCCCTTCTGTGCCGCACGCAGTAGAACTCATCTAAACTGACAGGCAACCTATCGGTTTCCTTTCCTGCAGCCCGATTGATCCCGAAGTGCCACGCCGCCACTGCAACTCCCGTGGACCGTCTCCGGTGTTGCGTCGTCGGCTTAGGTCTTAGCATAGCTTGTTTTCATTCCCAAACTCGCTCGCCGCGGATATAATCTGCAGCCATGGCTTTCCTACGCTGTGACTGTCTCCTGCTTAGAACACTCGTTAAACCAGCCAGGAGACAAACACAGTAAGGTGGCGGTCAACTGAACAGTCGATGTACCTCTATGTTGCTGTGAGTTCTGATTGTCGCCTTGGTCTACAATTTCAACGGCGTCATACTTGAAGAACCGCCGCAGCTCTGCAGCATGAATTGGGTCCAATCTTCTCCCCCATCCAAATGGTGCTCATGCATTCACGTTCATAAGCTGTTGGCTGCTTTCTCCAACATAGTTGCACATCCAAAACTTGCAATGAAGGCGGTAGCCAACGACTGCCTAATGAATATCTCGAGTGCCTGGGGTGAAACAAACTATGGTGAGACGCAAACCGATGTGGCAGAACCGTGGGGGTGGTTGGTGGTGACAAAAGTGGCAGTTAAATGCAGCGGCTCAGACGGTATCGGTAGACTACGCACACGTCAAAGAGCGTGAGCTTGGCCGTCCAGCCTCTGATAGTAGCGGTAGACGGAGTTCTTACGCAGGCAATGCCAAGACTGGTGGTAGTGGCTCGATCTTGAGAGGTAGGAGTAAGCAGCCGGTGCATTAACACTCGTGGGCGGCGGTGAGTCTTCGCGCGAGCTCTTATGGGCGGATTGAGTCATCGTACAACTACCATCGGGAAATCGCATTTAACTACTAGTAATGTAAAAAGGTAGTTCACTCACCGCATGCGAATCCGGTCCCTGTTCCGCCACCATAGGCCCTGTGAAATATGATGCCCTGCAGGCCATCACACTGTTCAACCTGCTTACGCATGGCATTTGTTGTGGGCTTGAGGAGATCGGCGGACAGGTGAAAGTATCCACGACCAAAGTTGGAGGCGGCGTCCTCCGCACCGCTAATCAGGTTGACTGAATCAAAGAAGTTTCGGTAGGAACCGATGCGGATCTCATCTGAACAAAAGCAGTGAGCAGTTTTGCACAAGGTTACTGTCAGAGTCTAGTGTTGGATCTTGAAAAGTTTGCAGGCTAGTCTGCAAGTTATAAGGGGAAATGCGGAAGATGAGGGGATGTGGAAGGGGGAACTAGGTCTGTAGTGGCAGCTAACGTTACTTAGAATCCATGATCAGCCGCACGTGAATGTCACGCCTTTCTCCTGCAAGGCATGACGCGCCCCCACTGCTGGTAGTGTCGTGCCTCTAGGACCAGGCGCAAACGTGCGCAACTTGTCTCTCCATCCTGGCCTCAACCCACAGTACCCTGACCTCAATCCGTCAAATAAAATGCTCGTGTTAGTAGACTAGCCTCATCTGTAGGCAGGCCTCAAAACGCCTGGACGCAGATCTCGATGTGCTCAATCTCGATGTGCAAGATCTCCCGCGAGCGGGGCTCGAACCCAAAACCATCTTAACGCAAGACCGCGATGCTAACCACTGCGCTATCGCCGCACGCTATAAG